TTCTCACCAATTTTTACCTTATTCAAGTCGATATTCTCATTACTTCCCTTGAGTCATGATCTCAAATTCTAATACTCTAGTGAGAACTCATGGTTAATGGTCAGTTTACTTTTTTTTTTTTTTTTATTCCTTTAGTCCTACGCTCGTACCTGCAGTGTAGGACAATGTGGATAACATGTAAAGGAAGCGCAAAAAAAAGTGTACGGACACCGCCCAACATGGAACAAAAATCAAGGCGCATATTGGCCTGGCCGGCGCCGACCCACCGCAAAGATGATCATGGAACTGTTCCTTTCCAATTCTCTCACTCTCATTCTTTTTTCTTTTATTTTATTTTATTTTGATTACATTTTTATCTACGTGGAATTTGATTTATTTTAGTTTTTTACTCTCCACGTTCCTTTTAAATATCTATTTTGATCTTTGGACATCATTCTAGTCCACATTTTTTTATAAAATTTGTCATAGAGATATGAACTCTTTAATACAAGTTTGTGACTATATTTTAAAAAATTTAGTGAGTGAATTGTCATGTTAAACTTGTGATAGAAAAATAGTGAGATAAATATGAAAATGAATAGATCAAAATATTCACTGTACGGGTATTAAAATAGTTTTTAACCATTTTTTTCTCTTAACAATTATTTAAATTTTAAGATAAATATAATTTAAAATTTAATCTCAAAACTTTTAAGTTTGTATCTAATAGGTTCTCCTGAACTTTAAAAAGTAGCTAATAATCCTTAAATTTCCAATTTTGGTCTAATAGGTCCTGAATTTTAACAAGTGTACAGTGAGTCGCTAAAACTTTAATTTTGTGTCTAATAAGTCCATCAACTTTCAATTTTATGTCCAAAAGATTTGTTAATTTTAAAAATTGTCTAATATGTGTCAAATAGATTAGGTACCTATTACTTATTAGACACAAAATTTAAAGTTTGAAGACTTTACACACCTTTTAAATTTCTGGGACGTATCATATTAATATGAAAGTTAAAAACTAAACTTGTAATTTAATCTAATTATTTTTACAACTCAAGTCTATTCTATTTCTATCTTAGAGTATGTGAAATTTTAAAATATATATTATAGTCTTTCAACTAAAAAATAAATAAACATTTTGGTTCCTAATGTTTGAAATGTCAACTTAGTCCTCGAACTTTTGAAAAATAACAATTTTGCTATTATTCAACTACCTAATATATGGCCACTAAATCATTTACCTCAACCAAATTATGTGACTCCAATTCTTATCTATGCTAGTATGTTAATAAAAATATTCGAATTCATAATATTATTCTTTGTTAAAGAAAAGTTCAAAAACTAAAATATACCTTTCTTAACGGTTATGGATTGAAATAGAGTACACTTGAGAATTTAGAGAAATAAGAAATTTTGAATTTTAAGACCAAAAATATAATAATCTCAAAGGTTTAACAAAATAGAATTAAAAAAGAAATAAAATAACAAAATTTAACTACGATCTATTATAATCTTTTAAAATTTTGATTTTATTAAATAAGTTTAGCAATACATAAATGGTCAAACTCATATATAAGTTTAGCAATACATAAATGGTCAAACTCATATATAAGTTTACGTTTCTTAGATGTTCTTGGAAGTTCTATTGTAAGCTCTAAACGTTCTCTTGAGAGTTGTGATTTTACTCCTTTTCCATTATTTTGTTTTTGCCAATTTGAGATTTGAAACCCTGTTTACTTATACCATAAATTAGAATTACAAGAATCAAAGCAAAAATTAATTGGAATGAAATCGATGGAAATAAGATTATTATTCTTTTAAATGCTGTTTACTAGAAACTACTTAGAATGAGATAAAACAATGCAATTACTAAATAGCATGCTAATATAAATTTTAATTAAAACAATGATACCCAATTATCAACTTTAATTTATTTCATTACTAAATTATTTGATTGTAATGTTTTTTATTTTAACGATTTTGATATATATATATATATATATATATATTAATTACCAAAGAGTTGATGATCTTTTGTCGGTTATTCCTTGAGGCCCCAAGCCACCCAAGATATCTCTTGGAGACAATAATTTTGATATTAAAACGTACTTATTATTTTACCGTTAAAAAAGTTCATGATTTTAGAAATTTCTCAACAACTAAGAGCCGTTTGATAATGAATTCTGTTTTTTGTTTTTTAAAAACAAAAACCATATATGTTTGATAATTGTTTTTAGAAAACAGACCACTGAATATGCTAACAATTTTTTATTTTCTACTTTTACAAAATTAGAAACTTGGAGAGATGTATTAAATAGAAAAAAATTTATGTTGAGTAGAGATAACAACAGTGTGGAGTGACAGTTCGGGACGCTCTCTCTCATTCGCATCTTCGTAGAAATTTTTAATTGCGTCTCCACCTTGTCCTTGATTCTGAGAATGGAAGTCCAGGTTGAGAAAACCTGATCCGGGGACAGCAATCTTCGTGAAAAAACTTATCGGTTTAGTAATTAATTTTAATTGTTTTATAATTTAAAAAATAAAAGGGCAGTAAATATATATAATTTATATGTATTTTAGTGTAAAATTATTATTTAGTAGTATAAATAATTAGTTTTAAAAAATATTTAATATTTTATTCATAATTTAGTAAAACAATTAATAAATAAATAAATAAAAAATATATATATATATATTATTTAAAAAATAAAATCGGGTACGGAGTCGGGACATGGTAGGTTGATTTTCCTATTTGTGGAGTAGGGACCAGATCTTGCGGGAATTTTCGTCACAGCTAATGCAGAGATACAAAAATAAAAGTTTACCTGAGACAAAAATTGGAAACTTTATAAAAAAGAAATTTTAGAGCTATCCTTGCCAAAATTATTTAGAGAGATGAAAAAAATTTAGAGAATAAAAAAGTTAGAAAAAATTTTAGTGAGAAAAATTGAGAGCGAACGATACGTTAGAGAAAGAAAGAAAAATTAGAAAGAGACAAAAATTTAGACCATAAAAGAAAGTTCAAAATATATTTGTTAGAGGAAATAAATAAATAAAATGAAGAATAAAAGTTATAGTGAAATAAAATTGAACGAGAACAAAATTTAGAATAGAGAAAAGTTGAAGTTATATTTGTTAGAAAAAAATAGGTTAGAAATAGAAATAAAAGTTATAAAAGTTGAAATAGGAGAGTGGCCAAAATTCAAGAAAATATTAAATTTTGAGAGTACGTTTGAAAAATGAGAGTGATATGTTATACCATGATGAAAAAATATATATACAAAAATGAGGGAGAAATATAAATTTTTTAATGAGAGAAATTTATGCTCAACCAAATTTTAGACCCACAAAGAAATTTGTGAAAAGAAATATGTCAAAAGAAAAACAAAGTTGAGTACGAGGAGAAAAAAATGAGCTTTTAAAAAATAAAAATCTATTTTTAAAAACTATATATTTTTCTTTAAATTTACTTCGAATTTTAAAAACGTTGGTGGGAAACAGAATTATAAAATTCAATCCGTGATAAAAAGAAAGAATCTGTCTTTTCAAAAATCAAAATCTAAGAACTAAAAATAAAAACGAAAGGGTTATCAAATGACTTTAGAGTCACTTCATTAAGCCACTCTTATTTCTCTTTTCGAAATTTATTATAAATCTTATCGTAATTGTGTGTATGTTTTTGACTTGTCATTTTTTTAAGAAATATGTCTAAAATTTGTATAGAAATTTTGGAGACAATAAAATTTAGTTTTTTGTTTATTTTTCTATTTCCAATTTATTCTTATGTGTTAATTGAAAAAGATGTAGAAACTGCTATTATATAGATCATGAAATTCTATTTTTGTTTTATTAATAATAAGAAACAATAAAAATGTAAACGTTACCAAAGGGACTAATCTGTAAAATTTTTAATAAATTATTCAAAATCTCACTTTTTTTTTCTAATAACTGAGGAGATAATTTCTTTTCTTTCTCATAAAAAATGAATACAATATAAAAAGTTTAATTGTGGACACTGGAAACTTTCCCTCCAAAATTTTAATATTCTTCTCGGACTCATCTCTAAGTTATCTTTTTTCTCTAAGATTTGTATCTAAAGTTTCTTGTCTTTAAACATGAGTTCTTGTGTTTGAGCGGGTCACACTAAGAATAGTGGTGAAAGAGGATGGGTGTAAATTTTTTATTTTACTTTTGTAATTATTATTATTAGAACAAGATTTTAAAACCTAGAGGCAAAATGGAACAAAATATATATTTACATATTCTAGTACGGTACGTGGAATGGAGTTAAAGAACTCACAACCTTCTGTCAGACATGAATGTTTTAATCCGTCGAGCTATGCTCAAATTGACACTGAAATGGAACTATTACTCAAATCTTAGGGATGAAAGGATAGTTTTCTATTTTTCTTATTATGAGGTAGATTTGAATTTCAGATCAAAAGCCATGAGACGACTCTATTTACAATTGGTAATATTATCCTTCGCGTATACATTTACTTATATTAATTTTATATATGTATAGTTATGTCTATTTATCAACATAACTTCACAATCAAGTTAGAATCTATTATCGACATGAATCGTCCCTAAACCATATGTTGATTCGGGACACGTGGTGTCAAATGATTGACATCTTCTACCCTTTTTTTTAATTTTTTTTTTACCTTTGCATCAAAACTTCTTGAACATATAAAGATCACCTTTAGCTGATCAATGATTCAAATCACATAAATTCATCAACATAAATGCTAAATTCCACACTCTTTTCACTTGTGGCCATAAAGTTATCGTACTTTTACTTTTTTTTGTTTCTTCAGAATCACTCACAAAATGAAGGGTGTGGAAGAACAAAAATTATTCTAAACCTCCAATTCATTAACCTTTGAGTCGTAACACACAATATTCTATCTCCTTTGGCAATTTAAAAGATACACAGCCAAGAAGAGTTTATGAATTAGGGTTCCCAACTTCTAACCCTACACTCCAAACCAATAATTGAAAAAAAAGCACTCCCATCAGCAAGACTGGAAAGACAAAGCCAATGGAAGGTGGTAGTGGTGGTGGTGCTGGCGGTGGCGGTGGCGATCATTTTGCCCATCGTGTTGGTCGGATTCTTTCTTGATCCGCCACCGGAGCTGGAGAAAGTCGTCGACCGAGCATGGGAGCCGGAGCGGGCCATTGGCATGGTAGCCATAGACTTCTTGAGCCTTGTCCAAAAGCTTCTTGAAAAGAGGGTGGTACAAATAGGAAATTGGAACCACAAAACGTTCTATTCTTCCATCTTCCTCCTCTTGCAACCCTACTTCCACTGCCAACCATCCTTTCTTCACCTTCATCTTCTTCCTCTCACCCATCTCTTTTTTTTTTTTTTTTCCTTTTTCTTTTTCTTCTTGCTTCTTAATTCTCGAAGCTCTAAAGGACACATATTTATATATATACACACATAGAGAGAGGAGAGAGATAATATAATGGGAATTTCGTTTTCTTTRAGAGATTGTCAAATCGAATCATGTGTTGATTGCTTTTTGACTTCTCCATTTTTGTTGGTTATTTCGTTTATTATTTTGGAGAAGAAGATGGTGAGAAGGCGCGTGTGCCTCTCCACTTTCCCTAACATTTGTTCCATTTGATGAAAAAGAAAAAGAAAAAGAAAAAGAAATATATATATATATATATATATATATTCTAGTGACTTCTTTTCTTTTGTTTTGTTTTTTAATTAAATGTTTTTTTATTAATTTTTTTTAATGCAACAAGTAGAGTAGGAGGATCAAACTCATGACATCTTGATTGGAGATACATGTCAATTACGGTTTAAGCTCAGTTCAGCGTTTAATATATTTATTTAATGATATTGTTTAAAGCTGTGTGGTAGGTTGGGTGCCTACATTTTTCAATTAATTTATGTTCCAGTTAAAGATGGTTAATTGAATGTTTAAGTGATTTATGSGAATAAGATTCATAAATAATAATACCTAATGGATAATAATGGCCAATATATCTATTTTTTAATGGGGTGGGTAAACAAGTCTTTTCATTTCTTTTTCTTATTTGGTCTGCGAGACTTTATTTTAATATGGTATTTTGTCAAATTATCATTGGTTATTCCAATAATTTGTTATGGTATTTACAACATAAACCTGTTAGAACTGAAGAAGGTAGAGCTGAACTGAAGAAGGTAGAGCTTGATGAACGTCATTCAACTAACATGAGTATAGTTCAACAGTCAACACACATTTTGTTCATCTTTTAAAGGTGGAAGATTCAATTACAACTATGCCCGCATTTGTTTTACTAAAAAGAAAAAAAAAAGAACTAAATTTGTAATTCGACATTAAATTATCTATAAAAATTTATATATGTAAAGACTAAAATAATTTTCCATACAGTAATTAGGACTTAAAACACAAAACCGTTTTGGGTAATGTTAAGTTTCTTGTTTTTTCTTTTTCAATCAAGAAAAACATAATTATCTTGGATAACTATTTCAACTTGTTTTTGGTTCTTACTTTTTTATTGTACACAAATATGTTTTGATAAATATGTTTTTTGTTTCTTGTTCTTAAAAATTTTAAATGAAAAAAAGTAAAAATTTTAAATGAAAAATAATTTTTCAAATTAAATATTCAAAATTTCTATGTTATATGTATTTATTTTTATATGTATTATGCTTTTTAAAGTCAAGAATTATAAAATAATGCTTTTATCTATATTTTGGAAAAGAAAAAAAAATTGAAAACAGGAATATTGGAAACTTAGGGTCTATTTTGATAACCTTCCCGTTTCTTCTTTTTAGTTTCTCATTTTTTGTAGACAACTATTTATGTTATTGTTTCATGTTTAGGTTTCCAATTTGCTCCAAAACATAAATAAAAATATTGTTTTGTCATTTTTTAATCTATTGGTATTGGAGGTCATGTAATTCTATTTTTCTTTATTGAAAAAGGAGGAAACAGAAACGAGAAACGAGAACGTTTACCTAATAGACCATTTTGTTACCTTCAAAATTTCTACACAATTTTGAAAAAGTTTCTTAAAAATTAAAAACGAGAAACARGAACAGTTACTAAACACTCATGTTCCTAAAAAATTTAGAAACCAGAAACAATAAACGTTAACATTACCGAGCAGATTCACAATCAAYAAAATATGGTAGGAAAGCAAGGTTTAGAGGAGAACTAATATTGAAAAGAAAAAGAAGAGCAATAAGTTGTTTGTTGTGTGGTGGAGGGAGAAAGGCATTGATAAAATTTCAACGGTTTTGGGTCCACAGATTCTATATCCCGTACAGTCCAAGTGATACTTATGGATGAGGACATGAAAATGGAAAGTTAGTGGAGAAAAAAAGTTGGTCTGTGAAGGGACCCCAATTCCACTCAAACCAAAGCCATTTTATGGATTCCCTAATCTCTCTCCCTCAACAAGTTTGGCATTTGTAATCAAGTATATGCCCTTTGTGCTTCTTATCCTTTATGCTATCTATATATTTCCTTTTAAATATGAGTGTTCAAAAAATTCAATGACCCGAACGACCAGATCAACTCTTCGATTGGATTCAAATAATAAAAGCTCTACGAGTTTGGTTGGTTTAATGGTTCACCTAAAATAAATTTGGATTAAGTTGAACCAATCTGAACTTATTATTCCTCATTATGTATAGATATATTTATTGTAATTTTATTTCGTTCAATAAATTTTTTAGGGACTATTTATTCTCCAACAACTCTTAAATGTGACTTTTCAGGTTTGTGAGGGTAATTTTTTACCATATAAATTGAGATTGYCTTACGGATCTTGATTCAATGTTAGAAAATGTTTAAAATATTAGCACTTAATTACTTTATTGTTATATAATATTTTGAATGAGTGACTCAAATAATTAGAAGTAGACCAATCCAAATATTTAATGGTTGTTGGGGTTGAATAAAATTTACAACCAGAACAATTGAATCTAGTCTAAAAGGTACTTCAACCCAACTCATGAACACCCTACCTTTCAAATGGTTTCTTTAGTTGGGATCATGGATTAGGGACTGATTAAGGAGCTCTTTTGTGTTTAAAGTATAATTAAAAAGCCCCATTGGTTGAGTTAAAGAAATTSATTAAGATAGGATTATGCTAAATTATCTTGAATGATAGTCAATATATAGGCCTTTTTTTTTATTTTTTTTTTAAGTTCAGCGTAGCATGTGAAGATGAGAATTTGATTAACTTCTATAACCTTTAACCTTTTGATCAAAGATATATGTGTTGACCAATTGAGCTATGTTAAGGTTGACAATAAATATATAAAATTGGAACCAAACAGTTCGTTTATTACTCAAATGAGAAGAGAACCAAGCTCTATGAATCATGCATGACATGTTTCCAAAATTAAATTTAGCTTTCATTAGTGTGTAAGGACTGTCATGATGTTTGATGTTTGTTTTTGAAGATGCCAAATGACATCCACAAATATATTTAACAAAACCTATGCAACATGGTATCAAAATTATTACACTAATCTTAGTACTAGGAAGAAGTTGAGAGGACCATTGAATTCTATGGGCTCTCAATATGATTGCCTATAGTTGGAAAATCATTCTTCTAGCTATAAGATGCATAGCATAAGGCATATAGCCACTTAATCACAACTTTAAGTGGTGAGATTTCTCTTAAATATGCCTTTGATAAACTCATATTTAGCTTAAATCATCTCGACTTAGACCCAATAGTACACTCTACCTCACCTCACGTCAAGTACCTCTGAGCCTACGATGATTGTTTTTTTTATGTTTGAAAATCCGAGAACCTTTTTATCACCATTTATATTAAAATTTGAGATCGTACACTTATGGTATCACATCTCAAAAGAAACTTGAAAGATATATTTGTAATTCAATAGATAAAAAAAAGTTATTTCATAAAATAAAGATTCCAAAATTTAATAAAGATAGATTCCATATAATTTTTAGATTCACTAGCCTAGATAAAAAAAAAAAAACCTCTATTTCATATAGTCAATCCTATACTTTTTAAATTAATAGATGAATTGAAAAGAAAAAATGTGAACAATTGAGATAATTATAATTATAGGTGCGTTAATTCAAGCATAATTTAGTAGAAAAAAGAAGTCATTATTATCATCACAAAGGTGGATGATTTGATACTCTCGACCTCTGTAATTTTTTAAGGCAAACAAAAAAAAGAGTCATATAAGCTCAAATCCATCTCTCTCTATTTGGTATGGTTGCCTTAGCCTATACTTAAGTAGGAAATAAGGCATCTAATGACATCAACGAGTTAGATAGTGAGATTCCACCGAGACGTGTGTCTATTTAAGCTCATATATCTATATTAATTTTGTCAAGGATTTTKTTGGGTTGGCTAAAATCTAATTTCTTGTAGTGCGAATATCGTTTTCATTTAACTTGAACTTGTATGGTGCTTGTCATAGATATCTTTGACGATCAAGTTAAAAAGTTGTGGTGGCAAATAATATGGAGACTTCATTGTCTTTTTCCCTTAGATAATCAATCTAACATAAGGGAGAAGGRCTTCTTCTGCTTTACAACCGGAATAAGGAACCTTAGAATGAACCCTACCTGTCGATCAAAAAACTTCACATGACACTTCACAATTTGTTGGAGTAACCAATACTCTTGAAGTAACTATTTTTTTTGTTAGCTTTACGAGCTTCAATCATATTATATATTTTGATGATAATAAATTTTATTCACTAATGACTTTAGTATTTCTAATTGTCCATAGTGTAGAGCTTCAAATGATGATTTCAATGTCTTTCAAATCACTCAAATCAGAGTTCAAACGAAGAAGTTATGATCAAAACAAGTCAGGAGAAAAAATCCTACGTGGTGRGTGATATGGACAAGTGGACCACTCATAAGTTGACATGTGGCATCAATAAGACACACTTATGTTGACATGGCTTCCAACAATCAAACAAATGAGAAAATGACATGTGRCGCTTGTTGAAAAATATATGTTGTATATATAAACTGTGTAATACTGGCAAATATATTACAACGTAATTGGCTACAAACAATACATGAACACCAAAACGTAATAAATATATTCGATRCACGCTTCAATAGCGCTGACCTGAATACAATTATTCGGTCTGCATAAGTTGCTAGTAGACTACAGCAATCGTCTCAGTAGGATACAACGACTAACTCCAGTAGAACATCAACCTCAAATTACTCGAATCTGGCAGAACTTTTAGATACTTGCTATCAACGCACAAACAAGAACAACACACAAAAGAAGAGAGAATTTTTGTGAGAGGAGGAGGAACTCAAATGAGAAGGCTTGATTTCTAGAATGAGGAAAACCACAGTTATATATAGTTATT